ACCCATAAATGGGGTTTTGAAGCCCCAAAACCCTTCCAAATCCTTTCTAGTGCTTAGCTATGACTTAAGGACTTGCATGTATGAGCTTAGAACCCCAAGATCATATCATTAGAGGAGTAAACATGAGTTTATGGCCCAAGAACATTATTGGACCGTAAACACCTCTTCATAGGCCGTAAACACCTTTTTAAGGTGTTAAATTGCCCTTAAACACCTCCTATGGCTTGGATTAATGTCTAGAATCAACCATCATCGAAGTAGGGACCTTAAACATGAAAGAAACCATGACCTTAAGAGATTACAACCATAAACCCCCCCCCAAGGATTGGTCCCTTGGCCATAAACTCCCTTAAGGAGGTCAAATGGTGCCCTAACTTCCCTCCATGGCTTGTATAAAGGACTAGAAACATGTATGCTTAACCTAGAACCATCAAAACATGGAATGAAGGGCCAAGTAAGAGTTTACGGTCGTAAACTCTATGTTTACAGCCGTGAACTCCCCTAAATGATCCATTTGAATCCCTAGTCACTTCCTATGCCCTAGAATTGAACCTAGCTTATCTCCCCAAGTGTTATAAGACTTTTGAGCAACCAAGAATACTCCACCCATGAGTTTACAGCCGTAAACTCATGGGGATATGGTCTTTGGGCCGAAATCTCCCCTAATGGTTTACTCTTGAAGAGTAAACTCCCTAACTAGGCCCTACACTCCTTAGATGCAACCCGGATCACTTCCGCCACTTAAGATAAGGCGTTTTCGCGCATCCAAGTGTATTATCTTACTTAATTAGTGGTTCAATGTCTAATTAGATACAATTATGTATCTCTTCATGTTACATAGGATCCTCGCACGTGTTCAAGCCCTAAATTGACACTTAGCATCCTACCCCGCACATTCTCGACTGGTGAGTTCATACCCCTACACCTATTTCTGTGTTTTTCATGTTTTCAGGGGGGGGGGTACAAGAAAAAGTACAAGGAAATCTTGTAATCAAACTTATTATTTCGTATGAAATGTTACATGTTCAGTATGCTTTTAACACTGAAAACCGTATTAACCAACCGTTTTAACTTGCAGAGTTAGTTTTCAAACTAACTGTGAAACTCATTAAAAATGTTATATTTTATATTTCACAAAGGATTTCATGTCATTCATAAAATAGGATTTTCCGTATTATTACTTGTAAATTTGTTATGTTTAAGATTGGAGACATGTCCTCAGTAACACTCCACGAAGATACGCGAGTGGAGGACCGCCCCTGTAACCAGAATCTCCTGGAGGGAGAACGTGACTTGAGTGTATAGATCTATACGGGGCTGACTACCCCGCAACTTGTTGCTAGCTATCAATGTGTGATTTCATCCCTAGAACGTGAGCACACACGGGTTTACCATCTTCATGTTCCATTGCCAATAGGGTTTCGGTGATCTTGAACATTTCAAATATTCGTTCTTGTGGGCCAGGGAGAACAACGGGAGGAGGAGGAGGAAGTGAAATCAAGCTAGTCCACATTGATCCTTCACTTTGGAACAAGCTTTCATTTTCAATAGGAACACCTTTTCATTAGAATTTGGGAAGACCACGGTTAGAATCAGACATCTACAAAACGGGAGAAAAAGGTTAGTTGATTGAATCCTTAATGAAACACCCAAATGAGACATTAAGGCTAGGATCCAAAAACATTGTTTACACATTAGAAGAGGGATGCCGTAATCCAACATGCAAATAATTTGGAGGTAAGTGAATGACGATTCACTAATTCTTCACCATGAAAAACATAAAGGAATTAAGTTTTAAATGTATTTGAGAATTCCTAGATTTCCTTTGAGATTCATTGAACTTTTCAATGGCATGTTTAAATCTTGATATGCCCCTCTCGTTTGTGACTGGGATGCCAAGGATCACAAAGTGGGTGTGAATAACCATGCAAATGTACATGGTGCCCTCATTGTTACAGTCACCTATTCGATGTGTCGGTTAACCACTCACACTCCATCGAAGTATGACAAACATTGAGTCGCCCTTTTCCACCTTTGCTTAGAACCAATTAGTGTGCCGGTTAACCACACACGCTCCACTAACTTCTTAGCAAAGGTGCAAAGTGCAATTTCATGGGATTGCATCAATTTCACTTTTGCCTAAAGTAACTAGGATTGAGAATTTGTAAAAACATTTAGTTACTTTACATAGATTCATTATACTTATTAATGAACAGAGGATTGCCCTATCCTACCCGTTCGGCTAACGACCCTCCACCAATCAAGGAAGCGGTGGGTAAGAGTGAATACCCATTAAACGACCATTTTATAGGCAATAACCTTATACCCCCTTATAGATCGGCTTCGTGAATGAGACATACTAACGGTAAGACTAGCATTTTAGTTATACATATAATATTAGACTTTTAATGTTATACATAATATAATGGTGTATTTTACACTTTTAAAATACTAGGTGGTTTAAATTTTATAAATTACTCTTTTAATTAAACATAAACCATATCATTACGGATTTATTAACTCTCTTCTAATTATACACTTAATTAATTTAATAAAACCATAAGGGTGTAATTTGAACTTTTCAAAATTAAGGTTTTAGAATTTAGACTTTCAAAATTAAACTTTTAATCAAACAATTTAAATTCCAAAACTTGATGGTAGGTTTTTGAAACTTTTCAAAACAATTAGGTTTTAATCTCACTTTAAAATTTTCAAAATTTAAGACTATTTAAATTAAACTTTTAAATATTAAAACTCTTGATTTAATAATTATCTTGAATTAAACTATTAATTTAAATTATTAAATCATAAGGGATTATTAAAACATAAAGGATAATTACCAATTAAATAATTAATTTATCCTAATCCTTTTATTCCCTCTAAATTTCGAAAATCATGGGATAGGATATTTCAAAATCTTTAATTACCATATATAACCATTAAAGGATAATTACAAGATATGGCATAATCCAAACCCCTACAATTTAGGATCTTATCTTGGGAAGGAGGCTAATTTCGAAAAACCAAGGGTTTTCAAACCCTAGAGTTCGAAATCTTGGGACTTAAGGAAATGATTTGAAAAAAAAAAACTTTACCAAATTTTCGCAAATTAGGGTTTAGGAATCCTAATCTCGAAAATCTTGCCTCCTAGGGTTTATTGGCAATAAACCCTAATATGTCAAGTTCATACAATTGTATAATACTAATTGAAAATAAGTTAACCAAAGGCTTTGATACCACTGATGGGTTTTGAACAAATAATCCTATGTGTGCATGCAAACTTAGATTTCGATCTATGTTTTCACTATTAGATACACAACATTATGAACACATAAAGAACCCTAGCATGCTCCTAGTATTTTCGAAATTCACATAGAAAGATAGATCACATACCTCTTGTTATATTGTAATAACAACTCAAATCTTCAAACCCAAGTCTTGAAAGCAAGTACCATAAGTGTAGTACCTCTAATGGCTCACAAACACCACAAGTAATTGGAGAGGAAATAGAGAGAGAAGAGGAGAGTTAGAAATCAGCTCTAGGAACCCTAGGGATCAAGTTTACGATTTCTATGGCCTTAGGGGTCCTTTTATAAGGTATCGATTAGGGTTTCAGTTCTTATCCTTATCTAGTTGCTTGCCCACCAAGTAACCAAAAGATAAGCCTTGAAAGCCCTTATCCTTGGACGATTTCAAGGATTCCTTATCCCTTGAATTCGTCTAACCTATGTCTAGGGTAACCATTGCTCTACTTCGCAACTATCACATAATTACAATTCAGCCCTCTAGTTTAATTAATTATACTTGATCACAAAATTAATTCATAATTAATTATTGACCAATATTAATTAAACAAATATGATTTCTCCTTTAATATATTAATCTTATAATATATTAATAAATCATAATAACCTCTTTCTCTATTTATTTATCCAGTCAAGTTGTTTTGGTGAAGGCAACCCAAAAAGACCATGCACAACCGGGTCAAGTACTTACCAAATATGATTACGGGCTTAGACACTAACCCAACATATCTGACCTAGTTTTTATTATTCTCATACATAATGAATTAATTCTCAGACACCTATAAGACGAAACCCTCCTAAGTGAAAGAGGTCATCATGAGTCTCAAGTTTTTCATATCAACACCTACTATTTATTTGTTTTAATATGAGTTCATGAGCATTTATTTCTAAATAAATAATGTCATTTTCAATTAAATTTTGTATTATAAATTTAAAAAGTAATTATCATCGTAGTAACACCTTCCACACCTACAATCACAAAATTGAGATCAAAACCACACCTCCACAATAAACACTCAAGAACATGTTTATGTTCCATGAAAAATTTCAAAAACATTTTTGTCAAAATCCGACAATTCACACATATATGACTGTTTACCCCCCTAAGAAAGAGACACAATGGTTAAAGAGATCATGTCCAAAGCAACCTCAACCACAGTTAATTCTTGTGTACTCCTATATTTCTATTGTTTTTCTCCTTCCTTTATAATTATAATTTGCTTGTATACTTCAAGAAATATGCACAAATTATAGAATAATTTTCCAAATAATCACAAGAATTCTTATAATCATATTTTAACATGTTAAATATTCAAAAAAAAAAAAAAAAAAAAGTTAAAAACAAATTATGTTAACATCAACCCAACTTCCATTCCCTTTTAGTTTCAAGAACTTATTTGTCTTAACATGAACCATCTCTCGACTTGTCATCCTACATTTACGGATCGTATCCCAAACTTTTCGATTCATGTCCTTCACACATCTAATAAGACGACTATGGATGTAACTCAAGTGGAAATTTTAACTTTGAAAATATTGATTTAATTAAAACTTAAAAGATGACGTGGTGGAACGTTGGGAACCAGATGTATTCGGGGCCCACAATAACGCATGCTAACTGGTCCACATGTGATCATTTCATTATAAATGAAAACTGAATCATCATCATTTCAACGAATCTTAATTCCCCTAATCATGTCTTCAATACACGACGACACCACCACCTTCTCCGACGACGTCAAACTGTCCACCGGAATACACCGCTGCTCAGTCCGCCGCAGATTATGGCCGTTACGGAGGCAGAAGAAGAAGAACAAGCTGCCGACGGTGAGATTAGGAGGAAAGCGGCAGTTACTGGTGAGGTTTTTGAAAAGGATTCGGATAAAGTGGATGAAGATGAAGAAGGCGTGCACTTTGAAGAAGCTGAAAGAGTATTATTACTCTGTTTTGAAGGATGTAATTGAAGCTGGTGGAAGCTTCGAAACGTTTCAACAGAGACTTCTTCTCGAAACGTCGTTTGCTGTTCCTGTTATGGGCCTTTCATTCAACACGTTCCATTGATCGATCGATCTAATTAAACTGCAGATTGTCGATTGATTCTTCGCCATAGCTGGAGATCTCGCAAATTATAGATGTTGAAACAAGTTTTAGCGGATTGCGTGCATTACTTTTCTGGTAATTATGGAATTAAAAGTTTTCATATTTTTCTGGGTTATGATTTGTTTCGTAAACTGTTAGTTCAAAACGAATTCAACGACAGAATTCTAGACCTAAACACTAAAGAGTCACTGAATCAAAATCAATTTGACAACATTATGATAAGATCGATTAAGCTTTTGTCGCATATGGAGGAATTTTCTCTTTTGTAAGGTATCAAAAGCAATTTTTGTTGTTTTCTATAACTTTTTTTTTTTTTTTTTTTTTTTTAAAAATGTTGGTAGTATTTTAATTTACTTTGAAATGAATAAAATCATAATTACAACTCATTTAAATGTTATTTTATTTTATCATGTGCCGTTTGTCTGGCCAAACCGTTAATATTCCCAGGTGCCCAACATTGGCATATGTAGCAGAGTCCATCAAACGCCGTCGTGTTGTGTAGCAGGGAGGAGCTGGAAATTCTATCAAGCAAAAAAAGTTTATAAAATATTTATAATCATATAACTTATACTTGGTATTTAAACAATCAAATAATTAGTATTACGAACTAATAACGAATTATTTAGTAATGTTAAGCAAACGAGAGTATATATAAGATTTATGATTAGATATTCAAAAGGTTTTCACATAAACAAACAACTAACGATTAATATCGATAATTAAACGTTGAGCAGTTGCACATAATAAATTCAAAGATTAATATCGATAATTAAACGTTGAGCAGTTGCACATAATAAATTCAATTATTATTAATATCGTTAGCAAGTTTCATCCATAAATCAAAATGATCGTTCACAATCATATCTGATTATAAGAAATGAGTACAAGTAGACTATCTTCTTGTTTGACGAATTTAAATACGAAACAATAAAGAAAAACCAACATGTTGATAAGTGATCTTGTCATCTTCATGTAGAAACCTGCACCTGCAGGGATATGTCACATGTTCTTAAAGGTTTTTTACTTCACTTCTAGGGTTGTAAGCAACAGAGTAAACCTCAGGAGTTAATGCAGACTTATCGGTTTTCCAACAACTATAGAAAATGATAAACACAAAGTGAATACTGAGATAGATGAATAAATTGTGATTGAGAGAGAGAGAGAGAGAGAGAGAGAGAGAGCAACGATTTTCAGTGTGTTGTAAAAGGGGCTTGGTATGGTAGGTCCTATTTATACTGGACAAAAACCTGTTAGTTCATGAAAGTGCCCCTTAGACAATTTGTGATGTCTAGTGATTCCGAGATGGTTCACGATTCCGAGATGCATAGAGATTCAGAGATAGTCTCTCATTTTGAGATGATGTGTGTAGAGTCGAAAGTAGTAGTGAGTAGTTGAAAGCTATATCTTTAGGTTTCGTGTCTATAAGTAGTGATAGTTAAGTACTTTCGTTATGTTATGTATTTACAAGGCACTTTCAGTATCGATAGGTATAGTCGAGTCTTTGTATTTTTTGTATATCTGATGGACCCCATAAATAAGGTAAGTACTTAGGTCTAGCTTAACAAACATTCTCTGATTACTCTTTGTACTCAAAACCTCTGTACTCTTTCCAGATATAATTGGAGCTAAACAAATCTTAGTTTTCTTTATAGCTTTCATAGATTCGACCAATTCAAACATTTATTCTAACATTCTTCAGTTAGTATCAGAGCGTGATTCACTTTCATTGAAGAATCTTCATCGCGTTTTTCATCTTTTTGAATCGTTCATTCTAATTTATTGTTCCGCAATTTGGAAACATAATTCTTCACTTAATCAATAAGCGATTAATTGATTCTGCTATTGGTTCTATGAATTGAACTGATAATCATCTTAATTCTCTTCTATAAATTTCTTTTATCATCAAATCAAATCAAATGGAAAATCTCAATGTGAACACAATAATGAACTATACGATTCTTCTTGGTTTTGCAACAAAGATTGTGATGTTGATTCCTGAGTATTACGATCAGTGGGCTGATCATACAGAAGATTACCTCAACAGCATCGATGAAAATATGTGAAAATCTATTAAGGTAGGAAATTGGTGTGAAGATTTGGTTTAGAATGTTGGTAATGCTGGAGCTGTTGCAGACATGGTTTCTCAAGCAAACACAAGGAAGGCATGTGATAAGAAAGCTCTTCGTGAATTGAGAGGTGCTCTTCCTCCCCTCGTCTACAACTATGTTCGTGGATGCATATTTGCTAAGGAAATTTGGGATACTTTGAAAGAGAAGTATAATGGAAATGAAAGAACAAGGAAAAGTTATGTGACAAAATGTTTATCTAAACTTGCTGATTTCAATCAGAAAGAGCATAAGAACATTGAAGCTTATTACAACAGGATGAATAATTTGATCCTTACGTGCACTCGATATGGGGTAAACCGTACTTCTATGGAATTTAATCTTACTTTTGTGTATGGACTCAGAAAGGAATGGTGAAACATATGCCTAATGATTAAGACACAAGAGAGCTTTCATACTCTTTTATTATCAAATTTGTATAATATTCTTAACACTCATGAAGTTAAGGTTATGTAGATTGCTGAGGGAGAATAAGCAAAGCTATGGTGGTCCAATGGATTTAGTGTCGAAAGCAAATAAAGGAAAATGAGTATGATGTTGGAGCAAAAGAGGGCGAGGAAGGATTTTTTTTTTTTATCAATTCTGACGATGAAGCAGTCGCATATTACTCTAATAATAGAGTAAATAAGTTTTTCAAAAAACTAATCAATGGAAGTTTTAAGAATAAATCTGAGCAGAAACAAGTGTTGAATGCTGGTGGGAATCAGAATGTGGTGTCGGAAGTCTAGAAGAAAGAAGATGAGAAAAAGACAGAAGTAAAGTTGAAAGGAGATTCTGGCTAAAACTGTAACTATTGCAATGATTACAATCATTTTGCTAAGGATTATATGTTGAGGAAGATGGAGGAAAAGAGAGAGAAAGTGAAAGATGAGGCTTATTATGCAAAATGACTCGAAGAAGTTCTAATCCAAACAAAGAATCTATCATTAATGGCAAGATGAAATGATGAGAATGATCACACGTATCATATCTGGTGGTCTGGATAATGAAGAAATGTGTCATCTAACGCATGGCTTGTTATTTGCAAAGTTTGTAGAAGGAATGTATGATGAGAAGAGTGTGTTTGTGGAAAGTGAGAAAGAAAGTGAAGAGGAAGTAGAGAATGATGTGAAAGCTGATGAAAGAGATGAAGAGAGTGTGCAGACTACTCGGAGATGCTTAGTTTTTACTACTCCAAAGTCTCCTATGACTGCTAAGGTGCATGAACTTTTCATATCTTTTAATAATCCTATACAGTCTTATCATGCTATTTTGTGTGAATTTGATGAAACCCGCTCTTACTTAAATGAGATGCTTATTTCGATGAGTAGTGATGTAGAGACATCTAAGGCATAATTATATGAAGCTCATAATAGATTGTAGGAGAATAAATCTAGTATAGAAAGTTCATATTTTTATATTACAAATCTTATGTGTGATAGGGATTCTCTACGAATGGATAATAAAATTTTAGTTGCACAACGTAATATTTATTGTGATATGGCTAACCATCTATATGGCAAGTTAATTGATCTTTACCATTCAACTGACATTTGTATAAAACAACATATGAAGTTGCTTCCATTTATTACTTTCAAACGATAGTTAGTTGATGAGACTACTTTAAATTGTGAGAGTAGAGTAGCTGACTATGATACCGTGCCAATGATTCATATGCTTATGGAGTAGTTGATATAGGTGAATGGTTAAATGATGACGATCTTGTTAAAATTGTGGACGATACCCTGACAAAAAGTGAACAAATCAAAAATTTGGACAAAACCGCGAAATTGAAACAAAGTACTCAAAAAAATTTGTTGATATTGAAGGCAATTCTGACAATATTAGTGAAATTGGATATCATTAATGTCACTTCGTTAACCAAGGACAACGATAGTGTTGATGCAAATGTTAAACTAAATGACAATTCCTCTTTGACAACCGAAACTTGTGATTTTGAAAAAGAAAAAGTTGAGGTTGAGGATGTTACACATAATGACAGCGATAGTGATGGTGATTCATGCAAGAAAGAAAGTCCATGATTTGTGGAAACTCAAGTGTATGACGATACACATGAATTTTCAAAGTTTTTGAAAGAAAAGGGAAAAAAATATTTGGAAACGAATGCACTTCTTTATCCCAAGTGCATCAAGGGTGTTCCAAATTAAGTGTTTGTGACGAAAGACTCTACTGATAAAATCGATCCTAAATAAACGAATTGCTGAAAAAAATAATCCAAATGTGACTAATGTAGCTTTTTACTCAAATCAAAATATGGAGGAAAACAAGTTAAACAAAATATCACATGTTTTTTAACGTTAAAAGAGTCAACAATCTTTTCCCAAAGATAATGAAAAGTAATGTAACAAGGTTTGGATTGTGAAAGTCGAAAAGTCAAAAGTCAAAAGTAAAATTGATGAAAACATTGAAAATATTTTCCTAATGATTCTAGTAATCGAAAGGCAAAAGCTCAAGATTTCAAAAAGGAAGAAAAATCAGGCTCTCAAAAGGTTCCTTTTAAAACTAACAATGGAAAATTTCAAAATCAAAATGAAAAGGTTGAAAAATCTAATTTGGAAAATAAAATTTATGGAAAGAAAGCACGAAACAAGACTTATTGAAAACAACAAAAGGAAAATCAGAAAGCATAGTTTTTGAGATTCAAAAATAAACAAGAATTTGAAAAGAAGTTTTCGCAAACATCAAATACTCATATTTCAAAACATTTCTCTCAAAGTAATTTGAACAATAAACAAAGGAATGTTGGAAATAAGAGTGGTATTTCACCAAAAGTGAAAGTTGTTGAAAAATCAAATGAGAAAATGGATGAGAGTAGTTCAAATTCTTCTCAACATA